GACAAAATATTAACCCAAAAACAAACATATATATATATATATATATATATATATATATATATATATATATATATATATATATATATATATATATATATATATATATATATATATATATATATATATATATATATATATATATATATATATATATATATATATAGCTTAAATGCATTTAACCTTGGAAAAGTTTTTCCTTTGCTAGTTGAACAACTACAACAACATTATGGACTTCACCAGTTAAGATGTAACTCTTGAGTTCATCAACATAGTTGCCAAATAAAGTGCATTGAATCTTGTGTCTGGAATATGTTACAAACAAAAGTAGTTAATGTATGCATTATTAAAGCAAATGGTTCAGTTAAATAAAAAAATGACTATTTTAAAATGTATCCATCAACCTCCAATTCAATGACATTCAAATTAGTAGTTGTCCCATTTTCCCGAATCTCCCTTTCATTTCCAAGTCCGAACAACAATCCAATGACATCTATCACAATATAAGCCAAACTAATGAACACTTTGTAATAGAATAGTAAAAATGAATTAACATATCAAAAAGAGGGTCAATTTGTTTTAAAGATAAAATCTCACCAGGAAAAAAATCAGTGTCATATCCCCCACCAACAATTTCAGAAATTGGTACAAACATATAGGTGACTGTGTGATTTCTAAATTAGAGAGTAGCTGGACAACACTATTATACTGGAATTTTAGTTTGTACTTACGCTGAGTGGTTTTGTAACTATCACCATTAATAGCCACACAAAGATTTTCAAAGATATAGATCTTCCCTTCTAAAATTTCATTTTTAAACTTGTAAAGCAATGTTTTCTTAATGGATGCATTAATTCTTCCTCCTTCAGCATCCATTAGGACCATTTCAATAGAAAATGGAAGGGTATTTCGATTGAAATTTGAGACTTACCATAACCTTATTGCTTTTGCCTTAATGTTCCAAAATGTTTTTTCAGTGTTAATATCAACTATACTTGAAAAACCATTAACAATTGCCATATGTATCTATTAATTACTTTATAACTATAAGCAGAAAAAATTAAAACATTCAAAATTCAAAATCATAAAAATATATAATAAAGAGAAAAAGGAAAAGATAGCAAGCAATGAGCACATAACTTGGATAGATTTACCTAAATCAAAGTAGACCCTTATATAGCCAAGAAATTAAGGTTTCTTACATTAAAATACTAAAGGAAATCGTCAAATTATAAGGGGAGGGAGAATTTGAATTATTCGAGTAATAAATAAATCACCTGAATAATAACCCAATCGACATACTTCAATTCATCAATAATCTCCTTTTGAACAACAAAGGGTTTGATTAAAGTTGACCTCATTTGAAGCAAAATCATTCAAAAGGTTAACAGTGGGAGGATTAAATGATATTGATTGAGATAGGTTAAAAAGGTGAAGTATTATTTAGGTTTCCATTTTCAAATGATATAATTTAACCTTACATGGTGGTGCAGGCCCATTCACGATTTGGGTGTTTTCTAGATAAGTTAATTTGCATACTCGCGTTTTGTGTAAGAACATTTACCAGAATATGATAATTTTGTAAAGACAAACAATGCATTTTGGAGGTGTACTATAAATCAATATATTGTTTTATTGTACAAAATTTAATAATAGCAAAATAGATGATGTGTATTATTGTGTAGGGATGTAAAGCTTAGAATAACATGAAAATATGTTGTTTAATTGATGAATTGGCAAGGGTGTGGTTAAGTTATGACACCTAAGAAAAATTTCTCCCAAGTAGGGGGATGTTTGTATATTAGTAAGATTAAGATATATAATTAAGATTTGAGTTTTGATTGAGTTTGTTATTGATTAGATCCAAATTAGCTACAAATTAACTATCGTTCATGTGATTTAAAATATAAAATTGACAAAAATTGCCATGTGGCCTGTCATTTCAGCATATTTGCAATGTTGACATCGGCACATGTAAGCATAATCACCAAAAAGAGATGCTTATATTTGTTATTCGATTCTCAAGCCTCTGATGAAGATTTGACTTTGGAACACTCAGATTTTCGAGCATATTGAGAGGAGTTTGATCTGTTAGTTAGACAGAGAGATTCAAGACGGTGAATTTTTTTGAAGAATTGATAGGTTTATTTCGGTATTCAATAGTGCGAATGAGAATAACGAACTAAATCAGTTTTGAGAGTCATTTAAAACTGACAATGATGTCCGTCTTATGATGTTTAGACCAAATGATATTGTTTTGATGGTTATAATATTTTAGATGTATTAGTACAATATTAAATCCTTTAATGTATTCTTTGTGTTGTTATTTTTAGTTGTGCTTGTGTTTATTTTGTTATAATAAAAAGTTGTATTAAATATATAATTTCACGGTTACAAAAAATAAGTTACATATCAAGAGTGCATACAATAATTATGTTGTGGACCTTGCTCCAACATTGGGACCATTTTTACGATTATTCTTGGGCATGTACTACATAATCTTACCATTTTCATTATCGTATTCATTTCGGCTCGAAGACGCGTGCTGTTAGGACGATCCTTTTTCTTCCTTCGCATATTTTTGTTGTGCCAAACTATGCCCCCTTGATATGTAGGCCAATGTCCTACTTTTCTACCACCGACAAGCTATTGATGTACACATTGAATAGATTTATGACTTCGTAAACAAAAAATATTTGGTTGGAAGGGTCTTGGCGAGCATATGAACATGTCTCTATGACATGGGTGCAAGGCATACAGAAGGCTTGAAACCTTCTACAATTGCACCAACCTCTATCTAGTTCGACCCAATAGTATCTCATTGGCCTCACTCATTATGGTCCATTGTCTTCTGTACACACAACCAACCTCTATAATAGTCAAACATTGTAACCACATGTGTGTTAGCTTTGGTAGTTTCCTCCTTAATAAATTTCATACAACTTTCACTGAAGAACTTCCCCGATTATAACACTGAACTCCATTTTGAACCTCTAGTTTCGAACAATGACCCTAACCTAAAATAAGTTACTCTCACCAACGCAATTATCAATAGTTTTTTATGCCTTTGAAGACAGAGTTCATTGATTTTATAAAATTTGTTGTCACATGACCCCATCTTTGACCATTGTTAAATGCACTGGTTCGCATCTCCACTAGAATATTATCGATCCATCTTAACACATTTGCATTTGTCAATCTGATCTCTTTGTGGTAGTGTTGGAACGACGATTCTGTTAACGCCTACCCTGCGTTCATAACTTCATTCCGAAGCATCTTGTCCTTCATCTCCCGCATGAAGTTTTGTGCAATATGTCTAAAGCAGTAGACACACGTAGAAGAAGAATCTTGCCAACTGTTATAAAGGTTATCATATGCATTCTCAATAGATGGATACCTGTCTGAAATCAAACATAGGTTGGGTTGCAGAGCAACGCGTAATAGGAGATACTTAAGAAAGAAACTCTAGCCACCAGCAGTCTCACTTTCAACCATAACGAATGCAATTAGAAAATAATATTATTGCCATCTTGTGCCACTGCCATTCCTTTATATTTCCAGTGCAACAATGTTCCATCAATTTGAATAATAGGTTTGGAGAATGCAAAACCTTTGATGTATGGTTCATACGCCTAAAAGAGTCGATGGAATATTCTATTTCCACTAACGCAAGTTCTGTCTGGGGTAAATGTTGACAATCTCCAAAATTGCAACAGTTCCCATAGCATAATACTTAAGTGCCACCAAAATTATGGAAGTTCTTTGTACGAATACTCCAAATTTCCGTATACTTGTTCAATAACCTTAGTCCTTGCTATCCATGCCTTCTAGTATGAGGGAGTACAATTGTATCATGTAATAATATGAGAGATTATTGTACTCACCTTCAATGACAGGTCCTTGCTAAATAGAGGCAAGATTTCTTGGAATATTATCTAGGAGCTTAGTTTACGGTGATCCTGTATCAAATTGGTGGTAATGCAAGTATGAGGTGAATCCATAAAACTTATATCCCAAGAATCACTTCTCTTCCTGTAAGATGTTGCTAGCCGGAAGATGCAGAACATGTTACAACGCAGAATGACATACCTTCCCACATCAGTGCAATCTATAGTATAATCACATGATTTTCTATGTGAAACTTTTTTATAGCTCTCACACAATCTTGTTTTGTACGAAACTTGTATCCCACTTTAACGCTCCCTCCGTCTCCATATACAGGTTGTAAAAGATATTCAAGGATGGTTCGTCTTCATCCAAATTCAAGTTTGTCATGTGCTCAGGCGGACAATACACATGACACGAAGGCAATGGATTTTGCTCGTGGTCTACAGACCCATACTACCAATATATATATATATATATATATATATATATATATATATATATATATATATATATATATATATATATATATATATATATATATATATATATATATATATATATCGCCACCACATTTTACCATAACACCGATGAAGCATATGATACCACCACATCCTATCATAACCCCCAAATAATATACACCCAAATTTTACACCACCAAAACACTAAATCACCGCACCGCCAAAGCACCCAACCAACACATACCTAACAAATACCACAATTTTATTTCTAAAAAAAAAATCAATGTCCTAATTCATCTTTATTAATAATATCAAAACAAAAATCTTATTTAAATTTAATTGATAGTGTTATATTCTAGGATAAACAGAAAATCAAATCATATAATGCAAAGATTTACAACAAACTTTCTTTCAACTCCCCGTCAAATATCTACAAGATATGATATTATAGAAAGCAAAGATTATTTTTCATACTAGACATTATTAAAAATATATTTTACTTTTTTTAATTGATTTTTTTACGTTTTCTGAAACTATTTTTAATCACTTACTTTTCACTTTTCTCACATCAGTCACTAAACTAAACATTCGCTCGCGGGTTTTCTCTTTCGCTTCATTCTTCTCAATTTCTTGAAGAAACCCTCAATCGACACAACAATGGTTAGTTTTTGTCTACCTATGTTGTCTATTTTGTTCCAGACTCTTTTTTTTTTGTCGAAAAATATGATTTTTTTTTTGTTTAAATAGGGGTTTTGGGAAAATGTTCATTATGTATGAATTCCTCTGAACTAGGGTAAATAATATATGAATTAGGTTTTTGGTAAAAAGCTGGATTTGAATTCTTTCTGAATCAGGATAAACCTAGGACACCACATATGTCATAGTATTTGAGTTTCATTTATCTATTCAATATTAAAAGAGTTAAAAATATTCTCATCAAAATTAATGTCTTCAATTCTGATAACATTGCTTTAATAAATGTTTATATCTTTAAATTGTGTGTTGGATTTGTTTACAAAATGTATAAGGTGTGTTGAAGTAAAGTAAAACACAATTATTTTTAAAGAAAACTTGTCTGAATTGTCCGATGCGTCTCGTATGAGTGTCATACGGGTGTTAAGCAAAGAAAATAAACCAACTTTTTAGGGATACTTGTCTGACTTTTTTCTGACACTTGTTTGACTTTTTGGGGCACCAATTTATGGTTTGAACTTTGAGTGATTTAGTTTGTTTCTGGATAGTAGAATTATTCAAATGGTTTAGTTTTTGAACCTAAATGCAAGCAAGTCCAGGTAGTTTATTTTGAATGTTGCCTTGATATTAATCTATGCCCTTTGTCATGAATCAATTGTTTCAAACACTTAACTTGTTTGCTGAAAGAAGCTATTGGTTTCATATATAATTCACTTCTCTATGTTTGAAATGTTTATTTGCAGAATGGAAGTTCTCAAAACAATTTTAGAGGTGGCTGGAATAATATGCCACCCACTCATTTTAGTCAGGTACAAATTCCTTACGGTAGTAGTCCTCGCGCCTTTGCTCATAACTGGCACATAGCACATCAAATGCCAGCATACTATGCTCATAACCCGCACATACCACATCAAGCGCCGGCACACTATGTTGATAACAGGTACTTATCACAACATCCAATGCCCACACACTATGCTGATAATAGGCCCTTACCACATCCAACGCCGACACACTATGCTGATAACCGGCACATACCACATCAAGCGTCGGCACACTATGTTGATAACAGGAACTTACCACATCAAATACCAACGCATCATGTTGATAACATGCACTTATCACATCAAGCTCCAACAGATAATAGACCCTTACCACATCCAACGCCGACACACTATGCTGATAATAGGCCCTGGCAACATCAAATGGCGACACACTATGCTGATAATAGTACCTTGCCACATCCAACACCGGCAGACTATGCTGATAATAGACACTTGCTGCTTCCAACGCCTGCACACTATGCTGATAAGAGCCACTTGCCACATCAAACGGCAGAGCACAGTACGGATATCAAGCACTTGCCACATCAAACGGTGGAACAGTGTACAGATAACAAGCACTTGCCAGATCAAACTCCGGTAAAATATGAAGATAAAATGTGCTTGCCGCATCAAAAGACGAAAGACTTGGCCGACAAAATGCACTTACCAAATCATAATCCAGAAGACTGTGCTGCTAACAAGTGCTTACCACATAAAACACCAGATCACAATGCTGATAAGAGGCAGTTACCTCAACAAACGTCTGAAGCCTATGCCGATAAGAGGCAGTTACTTCATCAAACGTTAGAACACTCTGCTGATAAGAACTTGCCTCAACAAACACTTAAAGACTCTGCTGCTGATAAGAACTTGTCTCAACAAACACTTAAAGACTCTGCTGCTGATAAGAACTTGTCTCAACAAACACTTAAAGACTCTGCTGCTGATAAGAACTTGTCTCAACAAACACTTAAAGACTCTGCTGATAAGAACTTGTCTCAACAAACATTTAAAGACACTGCTGATAAGAAGTGCTTACCACAACAAACACCTGAAGACTGTGCTTATAAGAAGTGCTTACCACCGCTTTTACAATGTGAAATTTGTGAACTTATATTGAATCCCAAGAGTATGGAAATTCATATTAAAGGAATGAGACATCGAAGAAGGGTTTTACAACTACACGAACAATCAACGAAACATAAAACTTCAAGTGGAGAAGAGATTAGACATGATCGAAGTTCTCAAATTAGTAAAGAAGCCTATGCTGCTAACAAGTGCTTACCACATAAAACACCAGATCACAATGCTGATAAGAGGCAATTATCTCAGCAAACATCGGAAGCCTGTGCTGATAAGAGGCAGGTACCTGATCAACCATCAGAACAATACACTGATAAGAACTTATCTCAACAAACACCTAAAGACTCTGCTGAGAAGAAGTGCTTACCACAACAAACACCTGAGGACTGTGCTAATAAGAAGTGCTTACCACCGCTTTTACAAAAATGTGAAATTTGTGATCGTAAGTTGGATCCCAAGTGTATGGAAAGTCATAAGAAAGGAAAGAAACATCTAAGAAGGTTGTTCAAACTACACGAACAATCAACGGAACATAAAACTTCAAGGGGAGAAGAGATTATACATAATCGAATTTCTCAAATTAGTAAAGAAGCCCATGCATATGCTGCTAAAAAGCGCTTATCACATCAAACACCAGATCACTATGCTGATAAGAGGCAGTTATCTCAGCAAACGTCAGAAGCCTGTGCTGATAAGAGGCAGTTATCTCAGCAAACGTCAGAAGCCTGTGCTGATAAGAGGCAGTTATCTCAGCAAACGTCAGAAGCATGTGCTGATAAGAGGCAGTTACCTGATCTAACATCCGAACAGTATGCTGATAAGAGGCAGTTATCTCAGCAAACATTAGAAGCCTGTGCTGATAAGAGGCAGTTACCTAATCAAACATCAGAACAGTATGCTGATAAGAACTTATCACATAAGAACTTATCACAGCAAACACCTGAAGACTGTGCTGATAAGAAGTGCTTACCACAACAAACACCTGAAGACTGTGCTAATAAGAAGTGCTTGACACCGCTTTTAGAATGTGAAATTTGTGATCTTAAGTTGAATCCCAAGTCTATGGAAAGTCATAACAAAGGAAAGAGACATCGAAGAAGGTTAATAGAACTACGTGAACAATCAACGAAACATAAAACTTCAAGTGGAGAAGAGATTGGACCTAATCGAAGTTCTCAAATTAGTAAAGAAGCCTATGCTGATAACAAGTGCTTACCTCATCAAATGTCAGAGCACTATGCTGATAAGAAAAACTCATCACAACAAGCACCTAAAGACTATGCTAATAAGAAGTGCTTACCATCGATTATACGTTGTGAAATTTGTGATGTTAAGTTTACTCCCAAGTGTTTGAAAGATCATAATAATGGAATTAAACATGAAAGAAGATTATTAGAACTACGTGAGAAATCAATGAAACATAAAGATTCAAATGGAGAAGAGATTAGCCATATTCGAAGTTCTCAAATTAATCCAGTAGTTCAACCTAAGAAAGTTCCTGCTGATGTTTCTAAAAGGAAACTCGGGGATCTCACTGGTGCAAAGGATCATGATTTCAAGGTAGAGAATGTGAAAAATGAAACTTCTAGTTTCAAGAAAAAGAATGTTCCAGCTGAAATCTCCAAAAGGAAAGTCAGGGATAACACCGATGCAAAGAATCATGGTTTCAAACACGAGATTGAAGGAGCAACAGGAGGTAAGTACATGAAGATGAATAATGGGATAAGAAGGTCTGTAAAAAATGATCAGCCACAGTCAACTCCAGTTGAGTTGAAGGCCTCAGCAGGCGCTAATATTATTGCCGAAAAAGAATATATAAGTTGTGATTTCGCTGCAACAGTAATACCACAAGGTCCTGTGGCTTCTCATGCATTCACACCACCACCAGCAGTAGAATCAAGTGTTGAACCCAAAAATCATATTGATTTACCGAGAGAAGTAACGGAAGCCCAACAACATTACAAGGTTCAGAAATGTGGTGTGGAAACAAATGATGAGCCGCAATCAATCTCAATGGAGTTACAAGCCCTTGGTGGTTGTAATATTAGCACAGTGGCTGAAGATAATTCTTCTGACTCTGATGAAATAGTAATAGCACTACCACAAGGACTTGTGACTTCTCAGGTACTATCACCATCACCAGCATCGGGATCAAGTTTTGAACCTCCAATTCAAATCAATTCACAGATCGAAGTAGAAGAAGGCACAGAACTCCACGAGGTTCAAAATCTTAGTGTGGAAACAAATGATCAACCACACGCAATATCAATGGAGTTCCATGCCACTGCAGGTTCTGATATTAATACCTTGACCGAAGGTACATGTTCTGATTCGGGTGCAATCATAATAGCACCGCCACAATCTCCTATTGCTTATGAGGTATCCACGCCAGTAGCAGTTATACAGACCGGAATGTCAGATAGCAAAGTGCATAATGAGATTCAGAATCTTATTGTTGATTCAAATAATCAGCAATGTTCAATCTCAATGGAGTTGCACGACGTTGCTGGTTCTATAACAAACAACCAAATAGAAGTTTTGAATTCTGATTCTACAGCTGTAGAAATATATAAAGAACCACATGCATCCCTACTGCCAGATGCAGTGGGGTCAATTTTTGAGCCTGTAACTGAACATGGTCTAGATACTGAAACAGAACCTCATGTGTCGGAAGCAATATTAGATATTGAGAGCCAACATCCTGCTGAGGAAACAGATATTGAACTGCTACCACCTGTCTTAATGGAGATTGATGTTGCTTTAGAAGTTAGTGCTGAAACCAAAACTGAAAAAGAAAGGTCTCAAGCGGAAATGAAGATGGATGTCGATCTCTCCCTTGAATCAGGGAAAACTAAGTTGCTTAAGGTATTTCTCATATTCTGATTTCAAAAGAAAGTGTCAAATTATACTTTACTTTTTTTTTTTGTTGTTAAAATGTGTTATTTTGTTGTTGTTATATACAACTCTTTATGAATCACTACAATAAGACTTTGCTTGCTTGTTGCAGGTGTCTGTTTGTCTTACGTGTGGCGATGAAGGCTTTGAAGAGGCAATAGTATATTGCAGCAAATGTGGAGATTATGCAATGCATAGGTAGTTTTTACTTACTCTTTCCATGTGAAGATTACACGTACTTACTCTTTAGCAGACACATCTACTTTTATTGCCAATATCATATGGACACTAGTGCATATATAAACCAGTGCGATGCATGTATGCTTATAGAGGAGCTTATTTTTTATCAAGGAAATTTCTATTTTAATTTGAAAGTGTTTAATAATATTAATATAAAAAGCAAAAAGTTTTGGAGAAAAGAAGTATTTTAAACATATTTACTAAGTTATCAACAATAAAATATTAAATAATGGTTTATTATGCTATATGATGAGGATTTTCAACAATAGAACCATTGTTTTTAAAAAAAAAAAAATAGACCCATTGTTGAAACTAATGAAAATAAAGGATTTGATGGTAATTGACTGTCTTTGTTCTTAACATGTATTTTACAGCAATCTGCACATACACACCAAACTACATATGCTACATTGAAATGGACTTGTACATTACTTAGGTGGAAGGACATATCAATAAAACTGTAATTTTAATTGATGCTGATTTGAAATACATTTATATCTTAAATATAGAAAAGGTATTTTGATGTATGTGTATTTGGCCATAAGTTTATAAGACGGTTCCCTCTATATGCTTATAAACAAATCAGCAAGTCTTTGGCATGAGTTATATGCACCAATTTGGCAATTGTTATGGTTCTAATAGATTGAATATCTTTTAGCCTTATATATATCTAAACTTCTTCTTTTCAGATATTGTTTAGCTGGTCCTGTGGTTTTTACCGACAAGGTTACTTGGTTTTGTGAGGATTGTGAAGAAATAGTAGTAGAAGCAGATCATCCTTACAGCGAGACTCCAGAATCAGAAAAAGATGAAGTTGTTTTTGATCCGCAGCCTATTGCTGATCCAGTCTGGAGGTAAAAACCATGTTTTGTAGCTTCTGTTACTGTCGTTTGGAATTAATGAATTCGTCGTAGCTGCTAAAGCAAAAGCGTTGTCTGACGTTGAATTTTCTGTTTAAAAGTGGAAGTTTGCAGGTTCTCAACAAAAGCTTTGATAAAATCAGTGGACTTATGGGCCATTTGTCCACATTAGCTTGCCCTAAAGTTCTTGAGGAGGCAAGACATCTCCCTGATGTGCTTAATGCCAACTTGCTTCAAAGATCAGCTGTGTGGCCAGAGAGTTTCAAGAAATTTGGAACAAATAATCAGAGCATTGGCCTCTATTTATTTCCTGAGAATGAAAGGTTACATTTTTGCTAATCTCTTAAGAACATGTTTGATTTGATAAAGTTTTTTTTCCCCTTCTTATTTCTTGTTTATAGAAATATTACTTTTGTTTTCTATTTTTAAGTATTTGTATTAAGACATCAAAAACTACATTTTTAGGTATTTAAAGATATGCTTTCGCCCGTGACAATAACAAAAATCAAGCATTATCCCACTAAGTGGAGTTCGGTTACATAGATCAAATTATGCCATAATGTTCTATTGAATACCATGTTTCTATTCAATTTGCTTATCTCCGTATCTTTCTTAGTAGTTTCTATTATACTAGTTTTTTTAAAGTTTTCTTCTACCTCTAGTTGTTTGACTCCTTTTCATGTGATGTACTCTCCATACAATAGAATTTAAAGGTCTTCTTTCTACATGCCTAAACCACTTAAGTCTATTTTTCCGTCTTCTCTTCTATAGGCGTAACCTCAAAAGTCTCTCTTCAATATTGTCATCAAATGCTACATCTTCATCTCTTCTACATTTATTTTATTTTTGTGTTGGTTTTTAACCACCGTAAACGTTGTAGGTCGTACCGCTGTTCGAACCCGTGACATTCTATAAAAATTAACTTCATTTTTAATATGTTTATTGTTTTTTTTATAATATTTAATTAAACAAGAATATAATCTCCATGCTCATATTTGAAACTAGTATTGAATAAATTGTTAATGTATTTGTACAGAGTTGAGAGATATTATGACCAGCTAGTTGATGAAATGATATACAAAGATCTTGCCATTAGCGTCATGGTTGAAAAAACTGAGCTCTTAATTTTTCCTTCCACATTGCTCCCAAGACAATACAAGAGTGAGTCACAATTCCATTACATATATGCATGCTACTTCTTCATATAAACTTTATTGTTTGTTAATAATTGTATCTTGATTTTTGCAGGATTTCATTCAAAATATTATTTATGGGGTACTTTTAAAAGAAAGAAAGTCTCAAGCACCATGAAAGATACATGATCCTAGTTATGGAATAATAGTCTTTTTTTTGTTACCAAAAATGTAATACCCCTATGTAATTGTGTATTTAATAATATAAGATGTGATGTATTATTACAAATAAAATAAACCATTCTATCTCTAAAATAGAGATTACCATATTATTCATCCATTAAGATAACTAGTTATAAATAAATAAAACAATATTTTCAAAATAATTAAAATACGGGTATCCATCCTATGGAGTTTTCTAATATTTGCTTAGTTATTAGTTTATAGATTTATTTGCTTAGATCTTATTTGTGGAATGTTGTTTAAGAATGCATATTAAATTAAGGGATCAAATAGAGATACACGAAGACACATATTAATGGATTTCAAACTATCATGAGGGGTTAATCTAATTTATAACCATAATATTGACTGCTGAATAATATATTATACGTTGACATGGAATTCTTATTTTTTATCAAGAGAAATACTTTACACTATATAGTCAAATATTCATACTGACCATAAAATTGAGAATTTTAGGTGAATTGATCTATTTATTATTCCCTCCCACATAGTTCTCATATTTCTATAAAAATATTTGATTTTATCTATTTAATCTAGATTGTTATGATGACAACTTTAAATACAACTTAAATCTTAATTATTATGTAACATTATATTAGAATCTTAATGTTCATGTGGCATTATCATATTAGAATTCTAATGTTTATGTGATATTGTATTAAAATTTAGAATTTTTATCACTCTTTTTTTAATTCTTCACACCAACTCCAATTCAATATCACAAATAATAATAATAAAACAAATAATAATAATAATGATATAAACTACCACTATTAATAATAAATATAGTATCTAGTTAATAATAATAATAATAATAATAATAATAATAATAATAATAATAAATAACTACCACAATTCTAAATAATAATAATAATAATAATAATAATAATAATAATAATAATAATAATAATAATAATAATAATAATAATAATAATAATAATAATAACTGTTGTACCCCAAAATTTGTTCTTTCATTTCTCAAAGGATCATCCTGGACCTTCAGGTTTGCTTCTATCAAGTTTCAAGTCTTGAATTGCAATTTTTCAAAAAAATCATTCACAAGGGCAAAATGGTCAAAAGCACACTGAAAAGTCAAACTTTGACTTTTAGATAAAAAAATCAAGTTTCAACAATTATATTTCATCAAGACATGAAATTGGTTCATCAAACATCAGAAGTCAGAAATTACTTCGAAAAATCCAAATTTCTAAACATTTAGAAAATTTTCTAAGTGTTAAGAGAATATGGTACTTCAGAACTTCTGAGCCAACCTCCACGCAAGTGCAGTCAGAATTTGCAAACACGGTTCAGAGCATGATGCTTCAATCAACACATGTGGAAGCGATGCTCTTCGGTTAGAACATGATTCTTCAGCATATGAAGGCTATGTTCAATGCCTCGGTCAGAACATCACTCTTCGAGTCTCACTCTGGTCTTCTGCGATCAGAACATCACCAAATCCTAAAACCTTGTTTGAGCAACCTGCGACACTGCTATAGCACAAACCTGCCACCAGCTGCCGCAACACTCCAAGGTGCTGTTGATTTAGTCCACGCCTGTATTTTTCTCAAACCCCATAATTGCACCAAATTAGCATACGAAAACTGTGTTTAAAAAGAAATGGAACAGTGTGCCAAAAAGGTTTAAATCCCATTTATTTCCCCCCCAAAACCATAACAAATTCACCTATAAATAAGTTGCTCCATCACACGCTCAAGGGGCTGGTTTTTGGAGAGAGAGAATTGTAAAAAGAGAGAAAAGAAAACTGTGAAACCTTCATAAAAATCCAGAATTCCCAAACAGAAAACCAAATCTTTGTTCTCCTCTTTGAATCAAAGAACTTAGCATTTTCTCTTCCGTTGTTCCTACTGACTCCAGAACATCTAAAGGCAGCAGTTCAAGTTTCAAACACACACTCCAGGTTCAAGGTAAGTCGTTCTGACTTTGCATCTTTTTATTCAGAACATCATTAAATATGTAAATATCATAGTATTGATGTTGTCCATATCATTGCATAAGTAGAAAAACTGTGGATCAGAACTTCTTAATTAAGGCTAGGCTCAGAATTAGGATTATAACTTCTATAAACTGTTGTGCTTTTATCCTTCTGATTTGTTGTTTGTTAAGAACTGAATAAATTGCTGGTGTGTTGATTAATATGAGGAAAGAGTTGAAATATAGCACAGAACTTCTGATTTTCACTCACGATTTTAGCATAACACATAACTTATGAGTTCTCCTCACTGTTTTAACACACATAACTTTTATGATTTTCTCACTGTTTAAACACACTGAACTTCTGATGTTCACTCGCTGTTAACACACACTGAACTTCTGATGTTCACTCACTGTCTTAGCACATACTGAACTTCTGAGTTCTCTTCACTAGTTTAATACACAAAACTTCTAAGACTTTCTCACTATTCTAACACTCAAGTTCGACACATAGAAACCCAAAACTTCTGTATTTTTCCCCTAACGTTTCTTGAAGGACCTCAGAGTGTATCAATCCAGAACTTCTGACGCTTCTTTCTGAACCACAGCGCGCCCGACATCAGATCCTTTGATCCCCTTTGTTTTTGCTTTCAGCAGCATGCTAATTCTATCTCTCATTATTTCCCTTTTTTATCATTTTTAATATTAATATTCTTTTTATTAATATAAAAAAAAAAGACATAAAAATATTTTCTCTTTATCAATTAATTTATTTCTTTTCCTTAATTCATTAAGACAAAAAACCATTTTCTAAACAAGTCCTTTTTCTTTCTTGCATTGTACATTTCAATATAGTTGTAATAATTAATTAGGATTTAAATTCTTGCAACCCCCATTGGTAAATTTGTACCCCCATCCCTACACGATGTAATAGCGTAGGACTTTACATTTCCGCGATTTATCAATTCCATATGTAAATGCTAGTAATTAGGGTGTGTATGGCAAGATATGAAATCAACAAATAGATGACCCTAAATCAAGACTAAATGCATGTAAATAAAACACACTTGCACACTAGCACCCTTAGGGTAATCCCACTTTGTTGCCTTTCGGAAAATAGTCATGTCCCTCGAATATGGGCGTTTTAGCAAAGACCCTCGATAAAAGATCGTAGTCCCTCGATGACCCTCAATGTTGCATTTGGTAAACGATCTAGTCCCTTACGATATTGCTAAAACGTCCCATAGGTTACCTTATATGACTATACAAACGTCCCGTGCCCGTTCCTTTTACATCCAAAGATAGGGTTACTTACCAAATCAATGGTAAGATAACAATATCAAAGGAAAGAGGAAATAAACATGAAAGACTTTTGAGAGGTAGATTGTTCCTAGTTGCTTGCTCAATTTCAAACCAAAACATCCTTGCTATTTTCAAAACAAACACCAACACTTTCAAAAATATCTTTTAAACTTGAAAACATTTTCAAAAGACCAACACTTTGTATACATTCTTACGGACGAGAATCATTACAAAGTTTGCCTAAACGATGGCGCCTTTTCAAAATACTTTCAAAAACCACACAAAGCATATTTTCAAACAAAAGCAAGTGATCTAGCAAGCAATTAAGATCCTGTAGATAACTACGGATGAAAAGGGTTCTAATACCTTCCCTTTTCATAATCTACTCCCCGAACTCAGAAAACATCTCTAAAGGTCTTTCCTGTTCTTTTCAACCTTTCCTTATTGGATAAAAGAAAAGTCGATGGCGACTCTTGCTAACCACAACATTTGTGATCAAACACAAAACATCCCAAGTCTGTTCTCCCACCGTGTTACAGAACTAGCGACTCTGCTGGGGATAATTATAAAAGTGGGGTTACCTTATGGCTAGATCACATTTATTTGCTTTCATTGTTTGACTTGTATGCTTTACATTTTGGTTCTTTGTTTGGGTTTGAATCCTCTACCCGGATTTGGGATACCTTATAGGTAAGTAGAAATACATTGTGGAAACTGTGCGGGGTATACCGACATGGTCTAAGAAATAGCTATGTTAGTGTGACATATTTGTGGGTACCGGTAGCCCTTGAGTAGTCAAGGAGAATACGGGACCGCTGAGTGATGTCATGAAGCACTAACTAACTTCTAGAACCTTTACTTGACCAACTTGGCCATTAGGACGTAGTGAGATGACCGAATTTTGCGCAGTCTGAAGTTGGTAGATACTCGATACTACAGTCATTGAGGTTTGGTTTTTTGGGATATTTCGGTCTCCATTAAAGAGGCTTGCGCTGAAACAATGCCTGAGAAAACAAACCAGTGATATTGAGCTCCCTTAGAACCCGATTACTATTGCTAGGACAGATTTGAGCCAACTAAACTTCAAGAGGGTACTTACCTATGAGACTCCATGCAAGCCTAAATCTAAGGACTTGTTTGTTTTGTTTGTACATAAATATCATAAACATCATAACATCATACTAATACTTACTAACCATTACAAGGATTTTGGGATTTATCTTTGTTCTGTTTTGTAGGACATGGATTCTATTCGCAAGAAAACCATTCAAGTCAATCTTGTAAGGATCCCTCCTCAACTTAAAGAGTTAGCATCAAGAATTCTTGAAAATTCTCCATTTACCGAAAGACATGGTCGCCTCCTAAACTTGGTTACCTCCAACACTGATGATGACATGATGAATGTGCTCTTCCAATTCTTTGATCCTCTACACCATTGCTTCACATTTCCCGATTATCAACTTGTGCAAACTTTGGAAGAATTCTCCTAACTCTTGAGGATTCCCATTCTCAATCAACTACCTTTCAACGGTACGGAAAGAGATCCAAAGCCAAAAGAGATTGCTCAAGACCTACACTTGCAACCATATGATATCACGACTAATTGGGAAACAAGGAGTGGTGTCAAAGGTTTCTTAGCCAAATTCTTGTTTGAAAAAGCCCAAAACTGTTGGAACTCCTTGGATTTGTAAGATTTTGAGGAAATT